GAGCTTAGTGCACTGAGGCCAGCCTCCTTTACGCATAAATGCATGTGCGTACTAGCATCTACCCATAGATTTATACATGTATATATTACAGCAATATGCAGAAATTATGATCTTTTTGCTGATATTTCAAGTTATGGAATATATCAGAAATTATTGGATATCATTCACAATATTTTTTTCAGAAAGTACTAGTGCCAGGCAACTTCAAAAAAATATTGGCGATGATATCCCATATTTTTTTATATATTCTAGATATACTTGGAATATGAGTCAATATATTTGCTGCGAACGTCAATCCTCAAGACTAATTACTCACGACTTTCAAAAATGGCGCGACATGTTGATATGTCACGGTTGCAGCTAGACCAGGGCACTGGAGATAAACGAGGTCTCAAAGGCCAGCATCCGTATACTAAACTTCCATATACTAAACTTCCATGGTGTTTTGCAAGAGTGTTTTGTCATAAATACCAATACATCTTTCAAACTTTGATACTGCCAGGCATACATGCGATCTTCGTGGTGTTTCTTAAGGGATTTACCCGGTACGATTTGTCGCGTGCGACTTGTAGTATACGATTTTCCTACTACAAGTCGTAGGATTTTAAGCAGTGGTTCAAAATCCTACTACAAGTCGTAGGTTGCGTACGACTGTTGTAGACAAGTCGTAGGGGCATTTACACTGCGCGATTCAAGTCGTATACTACAAATCGCACGAGACAATCGTGCCGTGTAAATCAGCCTTTAGATGTAGTAAGGCCTTTGAGGTCTCGTTTCCATGATTCGTCATTAGTCCCCCGATATTGACGGTCGTGAACTACCACAAAACGTTTTGAAACTCGTGTACGTGATCAATTTCTTTTTTATGTCATGCAGTTGTTATGGGTGCTACAGAGCAGTTAGTAGAGACCATCGATGATGTTATGAGCTGCCTTGATACTGGTTCGGCTGCACGGCAAACAGGGACTACAAACATGAATGAGGAGTCGAGCAGATCTCATGCTATATTCACCCTGTATATAGGTAAACATGCTTGTAGATTTGCAAACACCAAAACCATCAAAAAAGTAATTAATAAATATGAATTAATAAAAGCAATAAAGGATGGACTAAATCGGCTAACGCATTGCCATAAACGTCAATTGAAATCCTGTGGTAAAAAGAACTTTTGTTTCTAAGAATTCAATTTTTCAATGAAAATGCAACGAACAATGAAAGATACTCGGGTGGTTTGAATTGGGTGGAAACGTTTCTAGCAACGCGTTAGCCGAATAGATCTGCGTTTATCGGTGAATTAAAGTAACCGGGGATGATGGGCGAACAAGAAAAAAGGCCCTTAAAAATCACTAGCACAGCGATATAGAAATTAAGTTATGGTCGCAAGTGTACATTTACCGGCGACATAAATCACGCTCTTGGACCAATCAGAGCGCTCGTACTATTACATTTATATTATAAGTATTGCTAAAACATACTGAATTGTGGAAATTCCTATGATTTCTATTGTCTTATTTATGAATTTTTTGATATATAACGTGCGCTCTGATTGGCAGTGACGACCGTGTTTATAACAGAGGACATAGACACGGCTTACAGGCAAAATTTGTTTTTAGTTCGAAAAACGTCTCGTGTTCCTAAGCTTGCTTTTCTCGTGGTGTTTAAATCTAAGGACAGAGACACTCGCATCGTTGTCATATATTTCTTAAGTTTAGCACTATTCAATTTGGTTAGTACTTTTTCGTGTTTTCAGTCTTTACAGAGAACATAGTGCAGTGCTGAATACTCCAGTTTCGAATTCTCCAATGCTCTGTGTTAGCCTCATTTGTGCGCAAAATATTCCTTATTGTGAGCGTAGAAGTGTGAGATTTCAAATCAAATTTGTTGTCTTTCTTCACAAATTCCATGCGTTTTTTCGAGCTATCGCCGATGAAACAAAAGAGTATGTTACTTGGTTTTGAGGCTAACACAAAGCAAACCAGAATTCGAAAGTTTTATCCAAAAAGACCACTTAAAAACTTAAAAAAGGCCTTATAGCCTGTCAGCTTCTACTTATTTGTAACTTGTTCTCAGTTCAAAAGCCGATTGGTCAATGGGAGGATGATAACGTTATATCACCAAACAAAGACAAGGCAGCTGATGAAGAATCCGATGTTGGTAAGTTAATACTATTTGCTATCTTTGCTGAGACATCAGCCGTAAAACTCGAAGATGTTCCGATTAGTCGTCGATGCCTTTCCGTGTCAACGTCGGAAATCCGTCAAGTTTCATTTTTCGCGTTTCGGCATGCTGTCGGTGCTCTATCGGAAATGTGTCGGTTTATTTTCGGTTAGCCTGAGTTTCATCAGGCGTTTACTTGTAAATACCGATTTTCGGTTRGACTGGTTTCAAGTCGATCATCAGTCGGAAATGCTTCGACACTTTTTCGGCTAAGTCTGTGAATTTCTTTTTTTAGATTACAGTGAGTACAAGTATGCAAAGTTCCATTTCGTCGATTTGGCCGGCTCAGAACGAGTAGATCGGACAGGTAATGTCGGAGAACGATTCAAGGAATCTATTCAGATTAACACTGGCTTATTGGCCCTTGGAAATGTTATCAGCTCTTTGGCGGACTCAAGAAAAAAGGTAATACTACTGGTTCTCTTTGACGGGTGGATTTAAAAGCATTGATTATGTTTCCTTTGGTGTAGGTYGTTCACATTCCCTATCGTGACAGTAAAGTCACGCGATTGCTTAAGGACTCCTTGGGTGGTAACGCAAGAACTGTCATGRTCACGTGTTTAAGTCCTGCCGAACCTGACTTTGCTGAAAACCTYAACTCATTAAAGTATGCCACAAGGGTGAGCGATTGGTCGTGTAAATCTAGAAATGTTTATAAATCAATTCCATTTTGAATGTGATGCTGCACAGTCCCCTGCGCCTTCTTTAAAGGTAGCTGTGCCTTTGCATCAGAGCGAGGGGACGACTGAGCGCGCAATGATAGATAACACTTCAGAATAATAGTGAATAATAATAATTCGATATTCGAAGCTCAAGGAAAAAAAAATCCTTGCATGCTCGATCCTCGTCTCGCTTCGATTGCAAAGCCACGGCTCTGACCGGCGCTTTATATATAAAGGCCATAAAAACGCCGGATGTGACCGGGCATTCCGTGCGATGAAAAGAGATCAGGGCTACCTTTAAGATGGCACAAAGAACCGTGAAAGAGTATATATCCATTGCTTTTCCCTCCAACATTATTGATTATTTTTTTGAACACTCATGTCTTCTATTGATCAGGCGAGAAACATTCATAATAAACCAGTCATCAACAGAGATCCRCAAAACACAAGACTTATGGCCATGCAGAATCAAATAATGGTAAAAGTACTTTAATTTATATAACCTTTGTGAAAATGTGGCAACAGGAATTTCTTCAAATACTCCAACTCTTGCCTCTTGGAATTAATGTCATTTTTTTGCACTCTTGACSCACTATTCACACATCAATATTTTCATATCCACATCGCTTATTAACCTCCACCCCTCCCCCCCCCTTTTCTCCCTCCAAGGATAACCTTCCCCTCCCCTCCCCCTTTTCTCCCTCCAAGGTTAACCTCCCCCTCCCCTCCTCCCTCCGTGTACACTACGGGGCACATGAACAAACAGCAGCGTGACCAGTATGAACAGTGGATGAGAGATCTTGACGAACTTACGTCAACCAAGACGAGCCGTCAGGACGTTGGTTACGTAAAAATGATAGACAAGCTAAAAAGGGAAAATATTAAGGTATGTCATTGATTCGTATTACGATTACGGAAACGTAGGTAAAATATACTCACAATAAAGAAAAAAAGCTTGGAAGGATTGTTTTTGGGGACGGGAAAAAGTACGAGGACTACAACTATCGTCATGCTTTCTTGCGCAAAATCGCGTCCTTGCGTACTTCCTGTTTTGAATATTCGAGTGGAGTTGACATCTCTCGGAATGAAGTTTCCGCGGTTGTGAGAAAGCGCGTAAAAACCTGGCACTAATCTTTTCATTGGTCGATACATTACGTCTGCGTTTGAGTTTCGTTTTCGTTAGCACCAAAACTTTTGACCAAAAGATCTAAACCAAAGGAATTGAAAATTGCGCAAGGCCTTGAAATCATCGAAAATTCCCCGTTAGCAGCATGGCGAACTTGAATGAAATACGAATTTGGCCATATTCTGCTTGAAGTTTAATATTGATAATAAGTCTAAGCCTTTCGCTGTCTACAGCGTCGTCAGAGACAAGTGAATGAGTCTACAAGAGCGACTAATAATGTGTTAATAGAAAATCCTTGTGTTTGACTATAGATGTGTTAATAGAAAATCCTTGTGTTTGGCTTCGCGCAAATGAACGGTACTATTACGTAATGAGCTCTTTACCGTAACGAGGATTTTAGGATGATTGAATTGGCTTCAAGTTTTACAGTACAATAAGTACACTTTATACGCAAATAAACGGTACAATTACGTAATGAGATCATTACATACCAGGTTTTTTTTCAATGATTGAAATGGCTTCATCCACATTTTACAGTACAAGTAGAATACCTTCGCGCAAATAGACGGTATAATTACGTAATGAGATCTTTTTTTACAGTACAAGTCGGATCTCAGTAATGACGACGAAGAGGTATTTACCAGGCAGTCCTGCCAGATCGACATTCTTCAAAGGCAAGTCACGGAACTTGAAGTACAAAACAGCTCACTACAAAAACAGATCAGTGACATGTTGTCATCACTGAAGAAAAAAGATGATCAACTCTTTGAACAACAGCTCCAACTGAACCAAAAGACTGGTACTATCAAGAACCAGCAAGGTAAAGGAGAATACACTCAACAGACACCACTATTAGAGTTTATAATATAACTTNTATCCTCCCTCCCTCAATGGATAGTTCCCCCCTCCCCTCCCCCCTTTTCTCCCTCCAAGGATATCCTCCCTCCCCTTCCCCTTTCTCCCTCAATGGATAGTTCCCCCCTCCCCTCCCCCCTTTTCTCCCTCCAAGGGACTAAATTTGTCAATTGATTCCAGGCTCTTCGTGAAGAACTTGAGAGACGAAGAAGTTCAGGTGTACCACCTACTGATTTGTTGCCAAGTAACGAACAGAAGGATACAGAACAACTCCAAAGGTAATGACCAATCATATGGACTCTTTCCGTCTTGAATGCTGCATATAGAGCGGATTTCGTATGACTGTGCCAAAAAACACGGTACGTTCGTGCTGTGTCCGTACCGTGCCGTAGCCGTAGTCGTGATGGATTGAAAAAAAATCTTTACTTTTATTTGAAATCCTAGAAGGCGAGGTTCCGCGACCGTGCCGTGCCGTGTCCGTGTTGTGATCCGTGCTTTTGTACAGTCATACGAAATCCGCTCTACCATGCAAGGATACGGTCACGTTGACCGTATTGCTGCACTTTACGGGATGATGTGTGATACTCCGACCTTCCCGCTGCTATGCTGTCGCGCGCTCTTTCTTTTGGCGCTGGAGGAAGTGAAATGTTCCTTGATGGCTTCATGCAGCTTACAGACAGACTTGCTTCTTTTGTAAGAGTACGACTTAATGTTGACATTCAAAGGGTTTATCGCGATGGGAATGGGATTTCAATAGGGTTCTCCAACGTCGCTCAAGGTAGCGTGGAAGAGAAGTTTGTCTTTCTAGTTTGGGCTGCAGACGCTCGTGAAGCTCTTAAAGTCCTTGACGACACCACAACAGTAGTTCTGGCATCTTCGGAATACATGGTTTACGACTACTCTCTTCGAATCAACTGAAGACTGCAAATCTCTCACAGCTGTTGACTACTGGCTCGACAACCTGAACGCCAAGCGAGAGCAAAGTATTTGGTCGAGAAGGAATGCAAACTTTGTTATGAGTGGAGGATAATGAAATGCTACAGCACAGGGGGCAACTAAAATGCCCACGGTATCTTACCAAATGGGAGACTCGCCGCCTTGTGGACTCTTTGTAGACACGATGTTTCAGCAGCATTTTGGTGGTTTTCTTGGGGCTAAAAATGTGAACATCATCAAGAAAAAGACGTGGAATTACTTCCCTCGATTTTCTGTGCAGGACACAGCGGACGGGATCTTGTGGAAGATTGCTGAACGCCAAGGGGATAGAAACACGTGGTTTATCGGTGCTTCAGTGAGCTTTGAGTCAACAAAAAGCGTCATAGAATATAACAAACTTATGATGGAAAGAATGAAGTTAAAATAGCAAAAAGTAGAAAAATGATAAAAAATGAGAATAAAACAATAAAGAGTTGTAGGAATTTCTGGATTTCTTTTCGCCGTGTTTTGTTGTTTGCTGCCTTCTTTTCAGTATTCCCCGCTATATTCCCTGTCTTTGATCACTGGGGACTCATACGGCTTGTGAAAAACGTAATTCAGCACGAGAAGGCCTAATGAACGCATTTATTCTCCTTCCAGGTATCGTGATCTATGTGAGGGTTATATCAAGTCAACGATAAGCGCGTCTTCTCTGCTGCGTTCCGTGTACACTACGGGCCACATGAACAAACAGCAGCGTGACCAGTATGAACAGTGGATGAGAGATCTTGACGAACTTACGTCAACCAAGACGAGCCGTCAGGACGTTGGTTACGTAAAAATGATAGACAAGCTAAAAAGGGAAAATATTAAGGTATGTCATTGAT